AAGGTGCATGAATGACGTAACCCTCATTGAGCATGTTCAGCAAGCTGCTAAGAAAATGGTGGCTGGCCTTCTATCCGTGGACTGTGAATCGCGTCTCGCGGTGCTTGACCTCTTTCCCCTGGAGTATCGTCACCTCCGAGGGGACCTACTTCCTACTTATGCTCTGTTTGAACAAGGTTTGACCATAAGTTTTTTCACCGTTGACCTAGCAAACACATGGCGGGAACATGGTAGTACGATTTCCAAGCTCAGAGCTCGCTTTCGTCATGCAAACCTTTGTCTGGTTTGGGCACAACTTTTTTCTGAGGCTTGTCAACGGTCCATCTAGAACTCCGTTCAAAGTCCTTGCAAGTCCTTGCGCCGGCATACTGTCCCGCTCTGATAACTTGAAGAGTAGTGCCACGCTCTTTTTTCATTAGTGCCTTTCGGATGAGCGACAATCGATTAACGATGAGAACAAAACCGACCGGTGGAACTTGGGTGAAGGCCTTGATCATTGAATCCGTGAACCCTCTATCAAACCCATCTTGAGCGCGTCCCTTCTAAGACTACCGTCTCGTGTGCGTACCACAACGAGTCTTATTGAACCATTGCTTGATGTTTCATATTCATCAACTGTTCACGAGAGAACGTACCTGATTTCACTATGAGCAAAATTTCACTTTGAAGTTGCTTGGAGGTTTCTATCACTTAGTTCGTTCTTGAAGCAGAGGTAGATATTCCTTCAGCCACCGCTTTCAGACTACATGAGCCAAATAATTTACTTGTTGCCAATCTTTTTTATGCCCCTTGATAAGTTTTTTGGCACAAACCTGCATATTGTATTGTTAGAAATTGAACGAGTCATTCGCTGTTATTGCTGGGTTGTTGAAATAATTGGTTTGGTTGGCACAGTAGGGCGTCTATTCGAGACACGCTCCGCTTCATTGAGGAGTGTAATCGGTTCTTCATCGCTCTTATTTGTATTCACTGCTGACCTAAGTATCAGTCTTACAGAACTTGTGAGACGTCTCCATACCCTCCGCTATGGGTGCTCAACTGTGGGGCGAATTGCCACACCACGTTATACCGTATTATTTCATTGCTGAGAGGAGAGTGAGAAATTAGTTCTATGCCTTGGCTCAATTCTTTACTTGATCCATTAAAACCAGTACGGATACTCTTTTTTGGAGTTAGTGCTATAAAACGCATCAGGGCACTAATGAACCAGTTAGAGGATGGTGCATAGGTTTTCTGATACTCTACAACTGAGTGTGCTGCACACAGGCCTTTTGTTGCAGTTGGCACGATATTCAAGATATCACTGAATATTTTCATAAAAGAACTTACTCAAAAGTTTACTGGAAACTTCGACAGCCCATGACCGGTTTCGCCCTTCTTAAGGTGAATCCGGTAGGCGCGATCCCTGGGTTTCCGTCAACCTTATGTCCTACTTGAGACCAAATCGGTCTTAGAGAAGTACAATCATTTCCAAATCAAAACGATAGATTCAGTTGAGTCGCTCGTAAAAATCAAGTTGATTCGCAAATGAGTGTGGTTCTCCAAAAAGTCCAATTTAGGTTCAAGTAGAACAGAAGGTTGACGGAAACTCGGGGGCTGCGCCTACCTGATGAGCCCCAAGAAGATTGAAACCGGTCGTGGGCTGTCGAAGAGTTTCAGCAACTTTGTGAGTATTTCCCTTTATGATAATGAATAGACCACTTAGAGACGCACTGCCCACATTTTAAGCATGTGACCAAGCAGCCATATATTTTTCCAGCCTTCCGTTCTCATCTGTCAGCGGTCCAAAATTGTCATTTTATTATCTTGAAAAGCTGGCAGCCTGGCTGTGACCTGTCGAGGAGCCGTGACGTCATCACTTGTATTGGAGCTGTAGCAAGGTTCCTTCAACACGTTCAGCAGCCGTGGAGTAACTGCCCAGCCATCGATATACCTTGGTCGATCTAATACCTTTGGCGCAGTTTGGCTCAGGTTTACGAGAATCCACAGCGCCCAGTAACCATCTGAGCATTCTAAACTATTGACCTGGTGGTGTTATGCCTCTAGGGTTGTATTCCGTACGCAGTGAAGAACTAGGAAGACTCCGTCCAATAAATTGTTTTCGTGAAAAAAGTCCTGCCTCTTTACTTGGCTCTTGCGCCACATTTGAGGCTGGTAGCGTGGCATTTAACTCAAGCCCGGGCACTGTTGCAGATTTCAAAGGCGCGACTCTGAGTTTCACATATCATCCCGCATGTGAATCTCTCAGGTTAGGCAACCCAAAGACAACATCCAACCACACCATACCACACTAAAATCTATTTCAGAAGCGTCACTGAAAATACACAATCCTATATTCGCATTATGAATACAAACAGATTTCACGCAACGAGGTATTTTTAGCTCTCCCAACGATCAAATACTTTCCAGCAATCCTTGGCATTTTCCTGTATCTTTATTGTTTGGTTTGCTCTCCTCGAGTAGTTGCTTATTACACAACGTTTGCAAACGTACTTTGGCTGGTAAGAAGAAAAAAGCGAGTAAACCCAGGGAAACAAACAAAGAGGAGATCAAAGGCAATATTCTTCGTCGGGTGAACGGTCAGGTAAAAAACGAAGGTGAAGAGAAATTCATCCGCCCTGGCGACACAATGTAGACCCAATGTTCTTTCAACCGCGTAAAAGCCTTCATCAGTGCGAAGTACCGACGGCGAGACATCTTATTCACACGTTGCATTCGAGGCGGACTTTCTATTAAATATCCAATAAGCTAAGTGGAAACCACCTTCGACACCCCAGCGTGGGTTCAAGACATGCTTCGCTACCGTGCAGTGTCCGCAGTGTCCTTTACTCTCTCCAGCAATTCAGATATTTCTATCAGGAGGAAGGCTTTCACTCAAGCTTTGGGTCGGGTTTGTTCTTGTCGTTTAGAGACTTCCGTTCTTCTGAAAGTGTGTGGTACCGCCCTTTAAGTTCCTAGCGCGCATCGGTAATCCTTCCAGTGCGAGGATTAAACATAGAGTGGGTCAGGAGGACCCTATCCTCGGTAGCTGAGAGCAGCAGCGCCCACACCCGTTAAAACACCCTTAATTTCCTTCTGCCGAATCATTCTGCACACACCAAGGCTCTCGCCATTCTGGACCAGGCCTGGAATATGAAAGTCTTTTTGGTAGACGGCAGTTTGGCGTCCATTACATATGGTCCAGCCACTTAAGCCTGCAGTACTGGGTGCATTTCGTGGGTGGAGCGCATTTCACCTCACCAAACACACGCTTATCAATCGGATTTTCTGATTTCAGCCGATTCCAGCTACAATTCTGCGGTATCAGTGGTCACAGGCGGATTATAACTCATCATCCACCCGGAGAGACCACGTCTATCAAACAGAAAACAACCCGCGCAATTTTATGCAGCACGCGTTCGTCGGATGCATCTGGTTATTTTTTGCTTTTTCGAGTAAAACCAATCATTAAACACCGTTACAGACTTCTGAATTCTTGTGCTGGCAACCTCCACCACACAATTGTGGGGGTTAATACGACACCCGTACAGCACTCCATAACTTCCCGTGTCAGACCTTGAATTGTACGTGCGACCCGTAGCGCGACTTCATTCCTTGTGGCATTTAAACACATACTGATGAACCGGATGATCTGGATCGATTTTTCTTACAATGCCTGTGCCTTTTGTTCCCTTCCAAAATGACAAGAATATCCTCTATATAAAATATGGTCCAACAGGGGACCGCAGGAATAAATAAGAGCTCCGAGGTTTGAAGATGTGGAAAATTTAATCAAAAATCGTAGGTAGGCCGCCTTATCAGTTGCCGCTGTTTGTATGAAAGTTTTCAGTGGCCCTCCATACTATCCACCATGCCCACAAACATGTCACTTCAAATAGCGCACGATATTGAGGAAACCCAGGGCATACCCGTCTACAAATGGCGCTTAGAGGATGGAACAAATAGGCAAAGTCTGGCACTCATCAAAGGTGGAGGAAAGCCAATATTCTGATACAGATATTTATTTCACCCTTGTGGCACTTAAGGAACCCTGCTCCCCGTCTCCGGATAATGCCCTGATACTCCCGTGTGCTAAAGAGCTCAAGGTCGATGAGTTTACCCGAACTTCAAAGACCGGATTTGTTTACCTATCTCAAGACTCGAAAACATTTCAGAAACTGGATACACAAGTTGGCGCGGTCATCTCTGTCCCGTGGGAGGTGTGCTCCTTCCACGTGCAAAGGACTCGATCGTCATTTCGAAGCCTTTGTCCGGTCTTGCAGTTCGCCCTCTTGGAGCAATATCTTACTTGTCCGGAAATCCCAATGGAGGTGGCACAAAGGAACCCTTTTAGCTCATGTGCGAAACAACTCGGCAATATTTGGCTTTGCTTTCACGACATTCCAACTGATCTCTTTCCCCCGGAGTACCGTCGCCTCCGAGGGGACCTATTTCTTACTTATGCCCTGTTTGAACAAAGCATGGCAAACAGGTTTTTACCGTTGAACTAGCAAACACATGGAGGGGACATAGTAAGAAAATTTTCAAGCACAGAGCACACACATTCACCAGACAAATTTTTTTCTCATTTCGGGTAGTAAGTGCGTGGAATGACCTTCCTCCAACGGTTGTTCACGCTCCTTCTAGAACCCAGTTTAAAGCACTATTAGACATTTATGCGAATCCTCGCGCTGGCGAGCATACCGCCCTACGCTGAGAACATAAAGAGTAGTGCTACACCATTTTTTCACTTGTACCTTTCAGGTGAACGACAGCTACTCACCGACAAGAACAAAAGCGACCCGGAAACTTGGACAATAGCCTCGATCCTGTGTGCCAATCCGTGAATCCGTGAGGTTGGTCGGGCAAGAGACCGGCATCAGTTTGTATCACGCACTTGATAACCTGGCCTGAAATTCACATGTCTTCTGAAGGTAATTTTTTTGACGCAAGCCAAATGGGCGGCCTCGAAACGATGATTCAGAATATCTCTCAACCACATGGTGTTGTATCGAAACGTACACTGAACTAAACATGGCTTCGTCTATGCTGCACGTGACTCGGAATTGCTCGTTCGTTTGGCGCCAAGCGCAGCGATCAGCTGTTTGGCAAGATGGCGATATCACTGAGTTCTGAAGGGGGCATGAAAGATCTAGACGAATACTCATTGAGGATATATAAATCCGATCCAAGGGACACCAACTACCAGCGTTTGCCTAAATGCTGGAACGCAAAGGATCGCTCCAGGGGCTTGAAGTTGTCGCACTTCGCTCTTACTGTCTCTTATGGCAGTGCATATTCGGACCGCCATGGTATTTAACGGTTTGATTGCCTAGTCTTTTTTTACCTTTAGATACTTCTTATGGTGGCCATGATCCGTCTTGTGTCCGTTCTGATTCTCCGATACCACTCACCACTGGCATATACTACTTCGAGATGACTGTATCGAGTAAAGGCAACAACGGGTAGTTATCAAATATCTGTGACACATACCATCTTTTAGAAAATCCATGGCGATTGGCGTAGCAACGAAGACTTCAAGTTTGACGAAACTCCCTGGTAAGATATGGTTTCTGAGTTATTCGGGGCGAGATGGCCGAAGTGGTTAGAGCGCGGATTACTAACCTGAAGGTCCGCGGTTCGAATCCGACCTCCGCCACTCGACTTCCCCTGTCTAGGCTTGGGCAACCTGGCAGTATCCCAGCCCTCGTGCTCCCTTCGGGTGGCATGGCAGCTAGGCACCGGAAGGGTGCTACAGCTGAACGCTTTTCTTTGTACAGCAAGCAAGGTGACCCAGCTGGCTACACCACACGACGGCTGACGTGGCATGAGAGTATTGTTAGTTGTAAGTGTCATGGTTGTTCGCCGGCTGGGATACTGCTAGGGCGCCCTGATTTTTTATCGTTCTCGGTGCATCCCGTGAACATGTATTAGTTAAATCTCGCCCCACATCAGCTGAGGAGAGCTGGTTCCGTGCACATGATCACTGTTGACTATAATCGAAGCACTCGCTCAAATTTAGTCAGTTCACACCTGCAGAGGGTCCGCAAAGTAGAACTAAGATTTGTAGTTCCGCTCGTTTTTCGCAGTTTTTTTTTGTTTTCGATTCCTTTAAGACTAACTTCAGCTTGTAGCTGGTCTATTTATTCCTAAGCAACCTTTTAAAATGAGGTTCATGCTACCATTTGGTGGTTCACTCAGGAACGCTTGCCCTTAGGAATCGCGTCTTGCCTATCGTCACGTAGTCGCTAGTCGCCGTATCGACAACGGAGGAGAGTACCGTGGTCTGGTCTAAGGTAGTGCGAGCTGTCCACCTGAGCACCTCTGGTGGTGGCCTTTAAATAGTCACGGGTTTCCATTTCTCATTGAGCTCGAGAGCTACTTTTTCGGTGCCTAACTGCCGTGCCACCAGAAGGAAGCACGAGGTCTAGGATACTGCCAGGTTGCCCAAACGAAGACAAGGGAAGTCGAGAGGCAAGCAACAGGTTCGAACCACGGCCGGAAATAGCTCTGGTTAAGTCGTAAATTCATTGAACGTGGTTCAAATCCAAATTCTGCTTTACGATCGATCTAAGCTTGGCTTCGGTAACCCGACAGCATAACATCCCTAGTACTTCCTTTGGGTTTAATGACAGCTAGGCACGGAAAGGGTGTAAGAGATTATAATATTTATTTAGTTTGTTCGGATGGTTAGAAAGGCAATCTTCCGTCAACGCGAGTGTTGTTTCCGTGGTTCCTCCAGAATGGCACAAACTGCGAGGTGGATAGTTCATGGCTTGGCACAGGGAAGTGAGAGAGCTAATGAAGAGTTGTTTGTAGTCTGTATTCCAGAATGGGATTCCAGTGCACACCTGCGATTTGCTGGAGACAAAGGAATAGAGGTTGGTCGATATCAGTGGCCTTCTCGCTGTCAGTCTCTTGTAATCTAGCCTTTGGAGGTGTAGACACCTCAGAAATTTTGCTGTGGACTAGCAACCCTCCCTCATCCACTCTTTTATATTACTTTACTCTGATATCTTAAACACTTATTTGTACACCAATTTGGCTTTGACGGGAGACTCACCTGGAGCCTAGCAGCCCTACGAGTAGTGAATTATGCCTAAATTTGGTGGTTGTCCGGCAGTGTAGCATCAATATCAACATTGATGCTGGTGTCTCTACGGAAGATGGCCTAGCTGCCGGAGCTCATCTGCACTTCATGATGCATTTCCTTCTGGCGCGCATACCTCGAGCCCCACCATGTTCATCTGATAAGACAAGACACTGTATGATATTTCCCCAGAGCTACCATAGCTGAGGGGTACCATTTAAACATGGCTCGAGGAAACTCGGAGTGCAATCAGTAAAATCCAGAGTACAGTTACTTGGAGTGCGCATGATGCAGCATCGTTCTTCTGACTTCTGGACACGATTGATATCTTCCGGCTCAGCCACCTTGACTTTTGCAGAAAAATCCTGACGGTGTGTTGATAGAAAGAGTACATCTGTGAAATCCTATTAGTGCTTAACTGCCATGCCACCCGAAGGACACACGAGGGCTCAGACAGTGCAAGGTTGCCCAATCCTAGACAAGGGTAGTCTAGATACCGATTCGAGCACAGATTTGTGAAATATGAGCAGTCTAGATGACGGTGCCTAGGAAAATTGTGCAGTATAGGCGGTCGACAGCAATACACCAACCGTACATTTGGCGATCCATTACCGTAGTTATCAGAGCAATCAAAACGTGCTCTACAATCCCGAGGGAAGTGGGCGCGACGGTTTGACAGCCTCCTTGGAGCGCTTTACGGGATACAAATATAAATTATTCAGCAGAACAAGGCGATGAATCATTCTTTCGGAACACGGTGAGGCATCAAAAATAAGCAAGTGTTATATGGTTATCTTTCAAAAGGGACGGAAGGCTGTTAGCCCGCTCAGTAGATCACCGTGTAAGTTGAAGTGAGGAGTGCCTTTGAGATGCCTTACAGGAGCATGGGGTTGTCTTAGGAAAGCCATCGGGATACCACCCATGTGGCCGTAGAATCCAGAACACTCTTTACTGTTGTGCTGCTTAAGTAAGCAGAACGTAAGGGAGACCTCTGCATCTCGAATTCTCCTGTGCAGGCATGGGCACCCTGGCATTATCCCAGGCCTCGTGCTTTCTTCGGGTGGCATGGCACTTTGACACCGAATGAGTTGAATGAATTGAATTATTATCATCGTCATCCCCATGCCGACAGATATCCCATTGTCATCTCAGATATCGTTGGCAAACTGGCTGCTGAGGCGACTGGATATTAGACACACGACTTTAATGTCATTGGGCGGCAACTGTTCGGCGGAATTCTCCCGCACTATAGGATCTATCGGATGCTAGCTATGGTGTTCACCATGTTTCCTTCAGTCAAAAAACCACCGTGACATAAATAAAAGGTTTTCATGCAGCCTTGTGATGACATCGGATGAGACATCGTATTTAACGTCCATAACATGTGATTACTAGTGCTCTCCACCTTTGTTGCTTCGCTCCCGTCGTTTAGACTTCGTTATCTTGCTCTTGTTTCAGCCTGAAGCAAACTAACTAACAATCAGTTGTAAAGCCCACAATTACTACTTTGATATACGTCTACAGCATTTTAAACCTCTAACACGAGGTACAATTACGGTGATTAAGCTCGTGGTTCCCTGGATATATCGACGTTTCAGCCGCTGCAGCGGGAGGAACCTTACTTAATTTGTTTTGGTTCCAGTGACTAACGGCGCGTGACCGATCCAGACCATCTTTGGTTACTTGAAGTGGTCTGTCGGTCTCAGTCTTGATATTTCAGTGGGGCGAGACGGACCAAGTGGTTAGGGCGCGAATTTACTGACCGGAAGGTCCGTGGTTCGAACCCGACCTCTGACACTCGACTTCCCCTGTCTAGGCTTGGGCAACCTGGCAGTATCCCAGCCTCCGTGCCTCCTTCATGTGTGGCATGGCAGCTAGGCACCGAAAGGGTGCTACAGCTGAACGATTATTATTAATGGCCAACTGTGGTCTGTCCAGAGGAAGACTTGCGAAACCGAGCACTGACCACTAAAAGCCACCCTAAGTTGTCCAGGTATAGCTTTCAGCTCTGGACACCTCAATGTACCCAAGCCGCCTCAGTTCATCGGAGATTCCGCCTGATGGAACCCTCAGTTTGAATTCAAGACAATGTAAATGATGACCATCTGCAACTTTTCGTTGGTCGCCAGGTGTTTATGAATAGTTAACTCGATTTTACTGTCTGGGGTCCTCTTGCCATTGGGCAACTGTGGAACTACCTACCAATGGCATGACTCACTCGATGATCATTGACTCAGGAGTGCATTCGTTACTCCATATCACTGTTGTTTGGCATAGGTTTTCTCTGAATGTTTCCGACAAACTTATGGAGCAAAGTTCACTCCGAAGATTCGGTAAGCCTTCTAAAACAAACATTGTGAAACCCATTGCCTCTTTTAAAGGCCTCATAAAACGGGGAATGTGTAGTCATCTGACGTTGGATGTTCAGTCTACTATGTTGCTATGCCCTCATGTAAGAACGGTGGTTGGTGGGTGGTGATTATTAGCCCTTGTTGCAAGACGCAGGATCTCGAGCTCAGAGCATAATTTTGCTGGAGGGTCTACCGGAAATCATCTGAACGCAAGGCTGTATGTGGATATTCATGAACCAGGAAGTACAAAAAGTGGAGGAGATTAGTGCATTGAGGAATGCACGAAAGCTATTTCAGCTAGTTCACAATACAGGATCCAAAGAATTATTTGTGAATTAGTTTACTTCATTCTCCAGCCTGGTTCGCTATGCAGGATATTTTTAGCGAAAATTTAGGTGGACATCGCTTTTACGTCAAAGTGTGATCAGTGCGTCCGGATCTCTTCTTGTTAATGAGGTGCTGATATGCTTTGCCTTCTTGAAACGCCATCGGTCCGCTGGCGCAGGTGGTCGTCTTCGGCTACTAAAAGGCGGTGATGGATCATTGTACCCTAGCCATCTAGATTTAGGTTATGTGCAGCAGCGCACTACAGACAATGGGCCGGTTGCTTCTACATTTGTTTAGAAAGGCGTCCAAAACGCAGTGAAAGCCTTACGCCCAGTATAATGCACCTCGCTGGCGGCCGGGGTCTCCCTTTTTCAGGAAGTTTTTCTATTCTATGGGTTTGTCGGTTCTGCATGTGTTTTAATTTCGAAATGAGGGCTCCTGAGTTTAGACATATACTCTGTGTTTCTTATTCTCGCGCTTATGACCATGCGAATGCTTACGACGAGTTATTCAGAATTTTCCCACAACTAGTGAAGCTCATCAGTGCCATCACTCGCTCTTATTTTGTTGCCATGGGCCACACGTTTTAAGGAACCGTATACACTCATCTAGAAATCACAGCTAGGGAAACTTGTAAAGTTGGACGATGCGAACAGTTTTGTCTAATTTTGACTAACCAGCACTGTTCACAATGTACTCTAAGTAGGGTGTCGAAAGTTTCCTTTGCCTTGGTATTCGTCTTGTACATCTAAGGTGCAAAGCCTTCAGGATTTTCAGTCTCCACGTGTCCATCATGAACTTTTGAGGAGAGCTATCCTGATATGTTGACCACTTAACATACATGGGTAACTAAATAAGCAAGGCTTCTATTGTTAGACTTTTGGTATCGGAGGTAAGTTTCGCTGAAGCTTGAGAGTTGTGTGTACGCAACAATCGTAAGATCAGTTGTTTCAGGACTTAGCTCTTCTGACCTGTGGCTCTTAAATGTCTTCAGACTCTGTAACCACCGGCTCCTTCGCTGCGTAGCAAGCAGTAGCTGGCTGCAACATGTTCGCAATAAAATTCCTGATAAGTGGGGAACTGGCAGTGAGTCGGAATTACCGGCGTAGCAAATAAATAAACGTGAACTATGTACATCCAACCGTCGTCTGCTCCGAACTCTTGTTGGCGGAAGATCCGTAGGGAACAGACCAAGGTCCCAGTAGTGAGTTTGTTGTTAACTCCTAAGCACACTGGCTAGCATTAGTTTGTCGCGTGCTGCGCTTATATTGGATTGGGATCGCAACCCAACTAGTGGTTTGTTCCGACAGCGTGCTCAGACGGACCTAAATCGAAGGTACGCGTAATTTGTTCATGGTCGTATTCTCTAAGGGTTCAAGGCCTAAATTTCCTACTCTGCTTCATTGTCATATCGTTCTTTTCTCGACGTTCTATGGCAATTAAGCACCAGACTTACGTACGTAACTTTCGCTTCGCTCATCGTTGCTGTGCCTTCTCCCTACTTTGTCGGGGATTTTTCAGGAAAGCTCATCCTGAAAGCCATGCTGGCATACAGAAAACGTTAGTTTATGCGTTTTCACAGGCAAACCAGAACAGTGATTTCACCTTCCCATTTAACTTCGGTGACAGCTGCTTTAAGTCCAACTCTCATTTAATGGTCACTCTCTTTGCACCGCTCTTGTCATGGACGTATTTTCTGGTATAATCGCATCCCATTTATTTTTATTTGTCCGGCTTAATTGTCTCTGATCAATGTCACACTTTTCCTAGGTTCGGAGCACAGTTCCTTTGGCTACCACAATGACGGATCGGTGTACCATGGGTCTGCCAGCGCAGGAATCAAATTCGGTCCCCGCTTTGGCGAAAACGATACTGTTGGCTGTGGAGTGGACTTCATGTCCCGTAGTTTGTTTTTTACTCGCAACGGTGTTTTCCTCGGGAAGGCATTTGAAGGCAAGGTACCAGTAAGTTTTTTCAATCGCGATGGCTCTTTCCTGAGGATCCTGACATCTCGGAGGCCGTTGTTGTTGCGCCTGGTTCAATACCCACTGCTTGATCCGCTACCCATATCTTAATTCGTTCAAGAAATCTTCGTGGGTATTAAAGGAGGTTGCCACCGCAGTTAGCTTTTGTGTACTTCACGAGTACCGGGGTTTGTAGTTTCAAATATTTATTTCAACTTGCAAGTGAAGTCAACCTACGCTGCAAGGTCCAGAAGCCCTGGTCCGTTGCTTTTTACTTGTCAGAAATTATCAGCAGTGTGTCACACAATTCCCTAGAGATTCGTACCAAAGAATTTTTCACTAGGAGTTTTAACAACTGCGGATGGTTGACCAGCATAGTGAAAAAATACTGATAAAGTGATGTCTAGATCTTGATGGCTTTATAGTACTCCATGAGTGGTGGTTGTTCTTGTCTGAACTAACCACCTTTTCGCAAAAGATGTTACTTAACCTTTTTGCCACTAGTTTGGATCCAAAGTAATACCACTTATTGGCATGACAGCACCAACGCGCTGGAGTTTGTTTGGAGTGGGTAACTTGCAATCCTGTCGGTTACCTGACCTCTTGAGCAACTATTGCTTGGCAGTGTTAACCGTCTGCCGGAGCCTCATGCCTTCTACCTGGCTACTATTTAGGGCCTGTCCCACTTTCCCCTTTAGGACAGGCTTACTGGAATCCTGTTTGCTTGCGACTGCAGTTTACTTACGTTTAGCACATTCAGTATTGTCTAAGACAGAGTTATGACTGTGAGAGTTATTGGAGTTACTTGGAGATGGCTGTAATTTGCTACGTGCCTTTACTTATGTGTTCAATCAGATCATATAGTTGATAGAAATTTGGGGATCACGCCTGCCTGATGAGTCCCAAGAAGGGCGAAACCGGTGCTGGACTGTCACAGTTATCGGTAATCTTATGAATGATACGTTCTGTCAACAATCTGTACTTCTGTATCTCAAATCTCGTACCAAAGAAACATGTGGACATTGCCCTCAGCAGATCGAATTGGAGAACATAAAAAAAAACAAGCGACCTAGTGAAACCTTCTGTTAACGCCAAAGTGGTGTGCAAATGACTGGTTTTCGCTAAAACATTGATAAATAGGTATCTGTTATCCAATAGCCCACCCATGCTATTCCGCCAACTTGACTTTGATACCTTGACGGACACTCAGTTATTGTGTATTCTCATGGGTTACTTGACAGCTTACAGCCTGAAAACCAGCACAACCTTATCACTGGAAATCGTTGAAATACATCGACTGATACCAAGCTAAAACTTGAGTGCATTGAACTGCGCAAAAATCCACCTTTCTGCCCCTATAGGATGATATGCTTCAAAACGATTATCATTCTAGTTTCAAGCCCGAACTGATCTGATAAAGCAAAACGTTCCAAACCTGAAATCCCGTTTCTCACTGTGGACTAGTTCGTACTATCTACTGTAGAGTGTTTCTACAATGCTAGTCCGTGGTAGGCCAGACAGTCACCTGTCCGGTGCGATGCTGATGCAGGCGGTCGTGTTTTCCAGGTCATCGGGCTTGACCTGTCTGTATGACAAAATTCTGCTACTAAAACTGACAGCTTGCAATATGGTGTGGCTTTCAATAATATGCAAGTCCGTAGAAAAATGGCCCATGGAACCGCGTACCAACCACCTTTTCGTAGAACACGCCGAATCGTTCATCTGACTATTTATGTCAGGCAACCAATCAAGTTGTGAATAATCAGCGTCTATTTTCATGTTGTAGATGTTGATGGTGAGGATATCATTTTTTGTCACTGTTCTCTAGATCGATTCATACCTTTTTCTGGTTTTGCTTTTACAGGCTAGTCCTGCAACACGTTTGTATCCGGCCGTTGGTTTAATGGGCCGAGGAGCTCGCCTAACAACCAATTTCGGACAGCGTCCTTTCAGTTACGCCTTCGAATCCTACATCAATCGGGAACGTGTTTTCAAGGAGAACAGCCTCATCGACCGCGTATGTAAGGAGGAATTCGCCGGACCGAAAATGCGGGAGTGCGTTCATTTCGATGTTTTGCGCATGCAGTTATTCCTACCAGCACTAATTTGTTTACTACGGAGTGTTTTCCGTCTCGCACCCATACTATCGTTGCTATCCCCCTTTTTCTTTCGCGTTCACTGTCCGTTAAGAACTAGAACCTCTGAACACTCCTGGTCACCCGTTAGAGTAGATTTCCGTATAAGTTTTTCCACGGACCTGGTACAAAGAGGTTTATGGGCTACGTAGGCTCTTGGTATGGCATTTGTGCGTAATGAGGTGTGTCAAATGTCTCCAACATCTCTCTGTACAAATTGCCTGCAATGAGAAAGTTGGTCTTCGAAGCCGAGGAGCCAACGTTCTTGTTTTCCAGAAGGAAAATGAAGTGGACTTTCACATGCATGAACCAAATTTATGTGTAGATGAGAGTACTTGGCAGAAACCATTCATTCTTATGGTTTGTCCTGAAAGACCTTCGAAGTTTCTCTGTGTTGGACCATCGGTGTCTCCAATGCATTGCGCGGGTCTTGTAGGAAAATCAGATCAATAATGCTGAGGTTTTTTTCAGATGGTTTTCAGGAAATTTCACTCCTTGGATTGATCAGCTGATCACACTCCAACCATGACCTACACAACTAACAATATTCTCATGCCACATC